CTCCACAGGAGGCCAAGTCTCTGATCTCTCAGAGAGCTTTTAACCCTCGAGAGGTTTTCCAGCAGAGAGAGCAGAGCAACGAGAAGTTCTCTCCCGCACTCAGACCAGGTATATAACTATTTCAATATTACATTAGATTCAATGACTCTCGGTTTGTCCAGCAGAAACACATACCCCACAAAACAAAACACATACATGATGTCCTACAACGATAATTAATCAAATCTAAATCTAAAACATGTAAATGGACGTTACTTTAATAGCAATTAACAAATAATAATAAATATGAATTACAATTAATAAATAACACATGATGACACGAATACACACAATGATGCAGGTGACAGAACAGCTGTTAATCAAGTCCATTCATCAACGTCCAAACAAACATATAAACAACAACAACATCTGTCCCTGTTTCCTCAGGGAAGCTGCAGAGTACCTTTCTCTCTCAGAAATCGTCGGGCCGAGTTTCTGCCCCTGTCTCCCCCTCACCTGTCTCTCCACCCTCACCTGTCTCCCCCTTCCCGGCGTACTCCATGCACCGCCTGTCTCCTGCCTCACCTGTCTCCCCCTCACCTGTCTCCCCCTCACCTGTCTCCTCCTTCCCGGCGTACTCCATGCACCGCCTGTCTCCTGCTTCACATCTCCTGTCTCTCTCTCCTGTCTCCCCCTCACCTGTCTCCCCCCCTCCGGAGACAGCAGCATCACCTGCTCCCGCTGCAGGTCAGACATCCATCTGTTTTTTGGGGATTTAAAAAGTATTTCATGCAAAGGATGTTGGTTTGAAGTGAAGCTGAAGCAGCAGCACTTCCTCTGGAGGGTCTTATAGACAGGACGTGTACCCGCAGTTTGTTTCTTCATGTTCAAATGCACTAATTGTAAGTCTGCTAAATGTAATTAATGTTACGTAGACATCAATGTATGATCCAAAGTATATTACGAAGGTTAGCCACGTGACACGATGTGTGTACATTTCCTACATTACATAACTTACATACGTGACATTAGTTATGTACGTTACAGAAGTTACTTACGTGACAAACATTACGTATGCTATGTACGTGACAAAGGCTGTAAGTAACTTATGTAACAAAAAGTAAGTATATTCCGTAGGGTAAGTGACAAGAGCTGCGTACTTTTCCTACGTTACATGTTAGCGAGTGAAAGTCACGCATTTGACCTGTGTGACATTAACATGTATGTGAACTAAATTGCAAAGGTTGCGTACGCTATCCACGAGACATTGGTTTTGTTCGTATGTCGAGAAATGTGATAATTACCTAAGTTATGTGTGGTGGCATGTATTACATAGGCTACACGTTTGACCTACGTTACTTACGTTTGGTCCGTCACATATATCATGTAGTTCCCCCAGGGGACAAACTGGTACTTGGGGGTTATCTGTCGCCACTGTTTTTGTTTTGTTCAGACTCTCTGAAAATGGTGACATGATAACACACATCTGTATTTGTGAAAAAAGTTGGACAATGTCATTTCAAAGTGGCGACGGATAACCCACGAGTACCGACAGGCTTTACATAAGTGACGTAGTGACACATGTGGTGGGCTTGAGGTGAGCTGGACTCTGTCTCTGTTTAAACTTTGCTGGGTGTAAGTGCGTCTCAGCTTCACTCATGATACTCTGCTTGTCTCTGAACACGCGCTGTGCTCCCAGAGGAGGAGGGGGCGTGGTCTGATGACTTTGAAGAGGATGCAAAGGAGGCTCCTCCAGGTGAGACACGAATATACACTCAGAGTGACTCAACGCCACAGTCAACCACAGACTCTAATAAACCCTGTCCTGCAGCTGAGGAGGATCTGTACGAGGCTTCAACCCCAGTCCTGGACGAGGACCTTTATGAAGACCTGACCCTCATCTCCTCAGTGAGTAGCAACGCAGAAACTCTCAGGGCTTTTACTCAGGGACAGATTTGAAGCAGCAGCGCTTTGTTTTATACTTTCAGGCTGAAGTTCCAGAAAGCAACGGACAGGGAGCGTGTGCCAGAGCTCTGTACGACTACCAGGGTGGTACGTACACACACACAAACACACACACACACACACACACACACACACACACACACACACACACACACACACACACACACACACACACACACACACACACACACACACACACACACACAAGCAAATCGCTTCACTCAAAGCTATTTCAATTCTCGGCTCTGTTGTGATTGGTCAACCTGCTTAGAGATGTCCCGCCCCCTTGGCCTTATCACGTACAAAGTGTCAGAGCTCTGGCCAATATGTTTCCACAGTCGATGACTCCGAGATAACCTTTGACCCCGATGACATCATCACGGGGATCGAGTTTCTGGACGAGGGTTGGTGGAGAGGATTCGGACCAACCGGACACTATGGGCTGTTCCCGGCGAATTACGTGGAGTTAATCTAGCTGTTCTGCATGCTAGCTCCCAGACATCATTACACTTAATCAATACTTACATAAATCTGTGGTCAAATTAAAGGTGTGTCCCTGGAGAAAGGTCCCATTGTTCTAAATTACTGGATTTAAAGACTCATAATAAACTCTGTCAATATTCAAGAAGTTTGTGTGGACTGTTTTTTATTTTTTAGACATTCAGAAAAATAAACAACAACAACAAAGACGAGCAGCATTCATACTTATGTTGTAAACAAATGAAGTGCAGGAATTCTATTCAGTAATAGAAAAAGACATAGATGTATGTATTAGTTAAAAAATACATTATTATTATTATCTACATTTTTATGAATAAATACAATTTGATCAAAAGAAAAAGAGATTATTATTAAACTAAGAACAATTTTAATTTGTTAAAGCACTTTAAGATGCACCTGGTGTATGCAATGTGTTATATAAATAAAGCTTTATTTTTAATATTATTATTTATTTGTATTCATTTCATTTATTGTATTTATTTGTGTATTTATTTATTTATTTCATTTATTGTATTTATTATTGTATAGATGTATTGTATTGTTTGATCCCCTCTGGAACCAAGCGATGGCGCTAATGCGCCTTTAAACTTGATGCAAACTGCATTCAAACTCAAAGAAGAAGAAGAGTAAGAACAAAACCGTGATGACGTATTGCCTCACGTCATACGTCATACCTCCTCCACTTGAGACCAGAAAGAAGAAGAAACATGGCTGCAAGGTTGTTGCTCCGCTCCGCTCTCAGAGCCGCTAAAACATGCCGTGCTGCCCCGGTTCCGGCTCTGAGTCGCGGCATGGCTGCTGGAGGTGAGACCAGAACCACCACCGTGATATACATCTTTAAAAACCCGAGAAATTTAGCTTTTAAAGGTCTTTTAAAAAGGTCAAACGATCCCGTCGGCGACTGCCGGTTAGCATTAGCATCGTTAGCATGGATAGGTCAAAGACGATTTTCCGTCTTTTTAGTTTTAATTTAAACACATAGAAATGTATTTTCTTAATGATTTTTCTTTAGTTTTTAACCACGGTAGTTGTTTGTTTATGTAAAGCATTAGTTTTATTTATAGACCTAATGTTACCTAACTCACATTGACAGGACGTTAGCCTGTAAGCTAATGCTAAGAGATGAGTGTCTTATGTGATTAAGCAGTGGAGTGTTTCAATGTAAAACTAATGTATACTTCTCCACTACGTTTCTGATTATACTTTTCACATATAACAACAGATGACATGCTGTATGCTATGAGTCAGAAGTCCTTCATTAGCGGGGTCATTTACTGTGTTACAGCACAAGGGGTATAGCAGGCATGAAATAATACAACGTATTAAATATAGACATATTAGACCACATTATTCATAAAGAGAATCACACTGCCGTGGCTAAAGGTGAGTAGCAGTAATACAAATATTAAAACTAAGTGACATAAGTATATATACCTGTTATATGTAAGCACATATTCCTGCTACTAACTTCAGTCTTTATCACTTAAAGAACTTTGTAATCATCCAGAATGTGTGTATTTGATATAATATGTGTACACACACATTTTATTTTTACTTTACATTTTTAGTTGTTAATTCTTTGTTCCACTTTTGAAGAATTTTTATATATATTTAATGTCTAGGTTAATGATTTTGTAACAGAAGAAGCATCAGCTTGGAATCAATAAATTACACATCTATCTAAGGAACATATGAAGGTGTTGAGATGTTTATACAAATATGTTTTTTGCACATAAAAGTGATTATTGCTCAGTGTTTTAGTGAGTTGACTCCTTGGTCGTATACATCCGCGGAAAGAAACGAGTAGACGTGATGTTATGGTTAAAGTGAGGCATTAGAAGTTTAATTTTGTAACTCTTTTATCTCTCAGGAATCCCCACTGACGAGGAGCAGGCCACCGGCATGGAGAAGATCATCATGAAGGCCATGAAGGAGGGATCGGTGAGTTGAATTCAATATAATCAGGAACCAGAGAGGGTAGAAGTACACATCCTTTACTCAAGTAGAAGTACACATCCTTTACTCAGGTAGAAGTACACTCATACTTTACTCAAGTAGAAGTACACACATCCTTTACTCAAGTAGAAGTACACACATCCTTTACTCAGGTAGAAGTACACACATCCTTTACTCAAGTAGAAGTACACACATCCTTTACTCAAGTAGAAGTACACACATCCTTTACTCAAGGTAGAAGTACACTCATCCTTTACTCAGGTAGAAGTACACTCATCCTTTACTCAAGTAGAAGTACACACATCCTTTACTCAAGTAGAAGTACACACATCCTTTACTCAAGTAGAAGTACACACATCCTTTACTCAAGCAGAAGTACAAACATCCTTTACTCAAGCAGAAGTACACACATCCTGTACTCAAGCAGAAGTACACACATCCTGTACTCAAGTAGAAGTACACACATCCTTTACTCAAGTAGAAGTACACACATCCTTTACTCAGGTAGAAGTACACACATCCTTTACTCAAGTAGAAGTACACACATCTTTACTCAAGTAGAAGTACACACATCCTTTACTCAAGTAGAAGTACACACATCCTTTACTCAAGTAGAAGTACACACATCCTTCACTCAAGTAGAAGTACACACATCCTTTACTCAAGTAGAAGTACACACATCCTTTACTCAAGTAGAAGTACGCTCATCCTTTACTCAAGTAGAAGTACACACATCCTTTACTCAAGTAGAAGTACACACATCCTTTACTCAAGTAGAAGTACACACATCCTTTACTCAAGTAGAAGTACACACATCCTTTACTCAAGTAGAAGTACACACATCCTTTACTCAAGTAGAAGTACACACATCCTTTACTCAAGTAGAAGTACACACATCCTTTACTCAAGTAGAAGTACACACATCCTTTACTCAAGTAGAAGTACACACATCCTTTACTCAAGTAGAAGTACACACATCCTTTACTCAAGTAGAAGTACACACATCCTTTACTCAAGTAGAAGTACACACATCCTTTACTCAAGTAGAAGTACACACATCCTTTACTCAAGTAGAAGTACACACATCCTTTACTCAAGTAGAAGTACACACCTGTAGGGCCTATTTGAGTTCAACATGTAAGAAGTAGAAAGTACAGGTATTTGAGTTCAACATGTAAGAAGTAGAAAGTACAGGTATTTGAGTTCAACATGTAAGAAGTAGAAAGTACAGGTATTTGTGTTCAACATGTAAGAAGTAGAAAGTACAGGTATTTGAGTTCAACATGTAAGAAGTAGAAAGTACAGGTATTTGTGTTCAACATGTAAGAAGTAGAAAGTACAGGTATTTGAGTTCAACATGTAAGAAGTAGAAAGTACAGGTATTTGAGTTCAACATGAGAGAAGTAGAAAGTACAGGTATTTGAGTTCAAAGTGTAAGAAGTAGAAAGTCCAGGTATTTGGGTTCTAAATGTAAGAAGTCAAAGTAAAAAGTCGTCAGAAAAATAAGTAGTGGAGTAAAGTACTGATACCAGAAACATGTATACTACTAACCAAGTATTTGTACTCTACTAATTCCACCTCTGCACACAATCAAGGTCCCCATGAATAAGAGGGGTCAACATAAGAACTCATTTGGATTATTACAAATGGATTGACCATTTTTGCATCTTCACACACATTTCCATTAAAGTGATTCTAAGATTTCTAAAAGAGTATGTCCCCAAACAAGTATGTTTTGTTTGGTCTGTTAAATAAGATGTGTAGGCCGTGGTTTCTCTGTATTTAATTAAATATTTTATTTCAACACATATTTAGCATTTAACAGATATTGTGCTTCCTAAAATGAGTACATTTCACGAGTCCATATTGTGCTTTGGATATCATTTGGATGAATTGGGGTTAGTGTTAGCTTAGCATACAGCTACACTGGATACATTCACTTTATCAACATTAACGCTTTCTGTCCATCAGTAAACTCCGTCAGTCCGTATTTTCATATCTCCCTAATTCTTCATTTAAACCCATATTGAGCCTCCGTGTGAGCAGCGTGATAATGCATGCTGTGGTCAGAGTAGATTCTGCGTCACAGCGGCTCAGCGGCTCAGAGAGGAGAGCCTCTCTTTCCAAACGGCAGTTATTTATTCCCTCCACACCCTCCTGCCGTCGGAGCGTTTCCACCCGTCTGCATCATCATAAATAAAGTGTTGCACTAACAGACCATGTGACCGAGTGGAGTTTCCACATTCCTCCACATAAACTGGTTCCATATTCGTCAGGAAGGTCTGGCTTTTACGGCTGAACATAACCCCGTTTAACTGTCCCCCATATAAACATCTCCCAGATAGACGTGTGTGCTGCAGTGTGTTCTCGGGTTAGAGTTACAGAGATGTTTCCGTACATTAAACTGTCAGCGTGCCCCCGCAGCAACGGCTCCTTTCAAAGCTAATTAAATTGTGGTTTCACTTTAAATCCTGCAGCAGCAAACTTTAAAACTAGCAGGATTACATTTAGATTCCCCGTCTAGATTACATGTCATTCTGTTGCAACTTTAAACCAAACCGTGCATCTGAAGAGAGAAGAGAAGTAGATGTGACCATCAAGAGAAGCATTAGATTTGATAGAAGACATATTGTAGAAATCAGATAACAGGTGCAGCTCACAAGATCATTAGGATATCATGGAGCATGTTGCCTCCATAGAGCTGATGCGTTTATCTGTGCAAAGTATTGAGTCCATACATGAACAGCCTTTCAGGAGGTCAGAGTGTCTGCATTACAAATCCTGTTCTCATTGGTCCTATCTGCTATTCTACTATGAGATACAGGATTAGTGATTTAAAGAGCCCGTCTGCTGGGTCTCAGACCCTCAGCATGCTCTACTGCGAGGGTCCTTCTTACCTTCTCAACCCCAGCATGTCCCTCGTCCTGCTGCGAAGCATCTTTGGGTTTCAAGAAAGGGAAACATCAAAGTTATTATTCTTACTACTGTTATAGTGGTACCAACCAGAGCAGGACACACACACACACACACACACACACACATATTCTGTACAAACTGTGAAGTCCGCTGAGACAAATGTAGCATGTGTGACGTTGGGCT